CCAGAAGTCGACGGAGCTGCTGATCCGAAAGCTTCCCTTCCAGCGCCTGGTGAGAGAAATCGCTCAGGACTTCAAGACCGACCTGCGCTTCCAGAGCGCCGCCATCGGAGCGCTTCAGGTAAATACCAGCTGGAGGTTTAGACTTGGCTCTGTTGTCGTGGAGGTAGAATGATTTATTGGCCAATTGAAGTCATTTTAATCTGCTCACAGGGCTGATCAGTTGCTCTTGTATCACAACACTTTGCGACTACCACTACTACGCTAATGTACTTATTACATCATTTATCACTCGCAACGTTATTTAAATGGATTATCTTTTATATATAATTTTATTACCAAAATATAGGATTTTTTTTAAAATAGCCGTTTAGGAGTTGTATGCTTTATTTAAGTTCACCATTTGTGCATTATTTTGCTACAAGGCTAGTCTCTGATCTAAATTAAGTTTAAAAGCACAAAGTTAAGGTTTTTGAACAGGAATTTCAAATTGGCCAATAAATTAGAAAAACTGGAGAGGGTTGTTGAATAACTGTTTATCGAACCGTCTTCTTACAAAGAATGAAGGGAAACCTCGTAAACAAAGCAGATAATTGAAGTGGTAAATGTTCAGTTTTTGCCATTTGTTGGTTTGTCTTTATAACATGTAAATGAAAACTCAGTATTTCACATAGAGGCGAAGTCCCGCCCATCTACTTCGGCCCCACCGGACCTTATTTCTGAAAAATTATGTATTGAAGTCAATGGAGAGAGAGAGAGAGAGATTATCTTTCGATCCCGTTTGAATTGTGCCAAGAATTACACGTGTTGTTTGGCGATCTTAAAGGTCATGGCCATTTCCACTGATCATCATTCCATTGTTGAGGTATACTAAAATAGAAAAATACTGTGCAATTTTCCAAACTCACATTGGTTTGGCATACTCTGTAAAGTATGTGTATTCAGCAGTATTCACTTTCTCCACTAAACGGCTCGCTGCATTTCCAAGAAAGTCAGTTTGTTGTAAAACTGTTGAAAAATAATGAACTAGAAAGACTACAAGTCCCGCATGCTGGCTCTTACAGAACCGACTAACTCCCCTGGTGTGTATGTACAGCTCTCAACGTGCCCAGACTTGGAGTGATTTTCACCTCTTTTAATACTTTCCGCCTCATTCTGAGAGAAGTGAAATGTGCCAACGTGACGGCCCGGTGTGTGGTGGGAGATGTAGTTCATTGAGCCGTTTCATGTGTTACTTCAGTTTTGTAAAAAAAAAAAAAACTGGCAAAATTATCTTTTTTAAATTGACAAACAGCATATGTGTAATTCATGGCACAATAACAAGATAATCTTTCTCAATCCATTGACAATACATACTTTTTCTGAAATAATGTCCCACGGAGCCCCCGGAAAGGGAGCGACTTCGCCTCTGTTGCTTGCCCTGCTCTCTGAACACTCTGACCTGTATTTCTATGAAACTAATGTCTGCATTGTCTTCCAACAGGAGGCCAGCGAGGCGTACCTGGTGGGTCTCTTCGAGGACACCAACCTGTGTGCGATCCACGCCAAGAGGGTCACCATCATGCCCAAAGACATCCAGCTGGCCCGCAGGATAAGAGGCGAGAGAGCCTGAGCAGCCGAGACGCACCTGACGCTATTTATCTTAACATTATCGTGGAGTTTTTATTTCTTGGGTCTTTTTTTTTTTTACCAGGTTGACATTTTTGTATTTTAGATTCGTGACAATTCAAGAAATCATTCCACGAGTTCTCTTAGGATAGTTGGAGACGTGTTGTGCAGTAGGAGTGTTTCACCTATTCCATCATGTAGTCTGTTTGCCAGCTCAGAGTCACACGGGCCTCCAGCACCTAGAAACTACCGGATGCTAACTTTCATATGTCGGGCAATTGGCGTTAATTGACATGCAGACAATAGTTTAAAAATGCCTTGGCTGGTTTGGACAGTTATGGAGGTAAGAGAGGATGTGTCGATTTCTGACCCAAATGGCAGAGCGTGGTTAATTTTTGGGTCACTTTTAAGGGACTCAAAAACCACGCTTTGATTCCAAATGTGTCAGAAATGGATCCAGAATACGCCCAGCAACCTCAAAGTGTCCCAATCGGCCGACTGTTGCTATCGTCTGCATAAGAAAGTTATTATCTGGCATGCTTGGATGTGCTGGTGACCCGTCCTGTACATTGCTAACATGACTTCTTCACCATTTCCTGGTTCACTGCTGGCATTTAGACTAATGGATCATTTCTGGGTTTCACCGCCATCTCTCGGTCCTCTGTGGGCTTCAGGCTCCCGCTCTGAGGCCGGGGGAACATCTTCTTCCATGGGGGGTTCAGGGTCTCTCTATCAAACACCATGTGTCCTATGCGAGCACGACAGGCCCCCCCCTCCCCCCTCCTTCTTCGGACTGCTTTTTACGTGTTTTTCAACATCAAATCTCGGCAGCTACATTTAATACTATTTATGAAAGTGTTGTCGCATGTCTTTCTATTAAAGGTCTTTATGAGTAGAACGCCTGGTGTGTGGGTTTCAGTCAATAAAAAGTGTGTTTTTATACATATTACTTTTATTTACAACATGTTAACAAGAGGTAGGAGCTGTCATACAAACCACTCGGTGTGTTTGAAACCAGTCGCTGGAGGGGAAAGAAATATGGGATTTTAGTCTTGACTTTGCTCATTAGCTACACTGTAGCTAAGTGATGGAAAACTTCGGGTCCCCTTTTATATCAGAGTCGACTGACAAACCCTAAATCAATGCATTAACATCAAGTGATATATTTAATACGTAACCGTAAGGGCACAGGGGAACTACAACATTCCAAATACTTGATGAATAATATCAGGAAGTTTATGATGACATTTCTGTGAAAAATATACCACAGATTCTTAGTTTTATAATAATTGTGTTAAATATTTAATCATTCAATAGGCTTTGATTTTGAGACACATGAGGAGTCGCAGGAGGCCGTTTATAACAGATTATCTAAAAAGTTGCCAATAATGCTCATCTGTCCTCAGTTAATGCACTAGTGTTTATCGGCATATTTTTCGTAATGAAGGAGAATGGGTGTAACAGATGCATAATTGTACTTAAAGTTTAGCTTATTTTTTACTTTAAACATCTTGCAGTTATGGTAGTCACTGTTTTGGTTATGGTACATTATCAGTTCTTAAATGTCACATAATAATAAAAGGTCCCTGAAGTGGACACTCACCTATTCGACACACCATGTCCTCACACTCCCTGATGCTCTGGGCCCTGAACGCCATGCAGCAGAAGCCTGTCGACAGGGGGGTTTCTGGGGAGTCTCTGTGGAAACAGCCAATCAGAGGCTCCGGTTTAACACAGGCTCAGCCAATCACAACACACCATGTCTCTGTGATGTGCAGAGATGGCAAAAGTAAGCACATCCTTTACTCAAGTAGAAGTACAGATACTCGTGTTAAAATTCAAAAATACTGACTAAACTTCTTTACTCAAGTCAAAGTAAAGAGGCTTTGAAATGTACTTCAGTAAAAAGTACCCATAACTAGCAGCTGTTTTAAAGAGTACCTGACCTCCCTTTATATTAATAGAACAATAATGTCATTGTTAGCTAATGAATGTTTCCATGGTGAACAACGGCAACATGACAACGTTTTCATTGGTCCCTCTTCTTTAGAGAAGACCAGGAAATGATGGATACACGGATCGTGTTCAAATCAATAGGCACGCAATGACTCTAAATAATAATGATCACGCCACCAAACACACATTCAGACTAAAGGAACCAGCCTGTTTGGAAAATGAGAGAAGTAGAAAGTACAGGTATTTGAGTTCAACATGTAAGAAGTAGAAAGTACAGGTATTTGAGTTCAACATGTAAGAAGTAGAAAGTACAGGTATTTGAGTTCAACATGTGAGAAGTAGAAAGTACAGGTATTAGAGTTCAACA